AAAAAACAAGTCACTATTATCTAATACACAGGCGGTGGCGGCAGCGGTGGCGGGAGAAGAACCAGTAAGAGGGAGAAGAAAAAAAGGGGGCAGAGGTGTGCACAGGGTCCTTTCAGCCGCGCCCACCGAAGAGGAGGCCGAGGATGGCGAAGATAACCAGAGCACAGACAATCATCAGCCCAATGGAGGCAAGCGGCAACACACGCAGATCCTTTTGCTCGGCAGTCAACATGTCGAATTCCTCCCGACTAGGCGATGCAACAACTGGCTGGGCGGCCGCGGCCTTCGAGGGGGTATGTGGGGCGGGAATTACCTCCGGCTCGGCAGTCGTGCAGCCGCTGGACATTTCAGGCTCAGGCTCAGGCTCGGGCTCAGGCTCAGGCTCAGGAGGAATTTCAACCACAGGTTCTTCGGGAGTCGATTGTTCAGGCACAACCTCGAGGGGCTCCTCGGGCGGCTCCTCGGGCGCGGCCTCGGGGGTGATCCCCGGCTCCTCATACATGGCCGGCGACTCCTCATGCACAACCTCCGGCTCGTCAGCCTCGCAGTCGGTCGACGTGTCGGGCTCCGGGACGGGGACCTCCCCCGGGGCATCAGTCTCGCATGCGGCGGCCTCCTCCTCCTCCTCCGAAGACGGAATCATATCGGACTCCCCGGCTGGGGGATCGGCAGACTGGTTGACCTCGTGAGTGGCCTCTCTCGGCGTCCCGTAGGCCGCCTGGCTGGCGGCTTCCTCCTCCTCCGAGGGATGCGGGTCGGTCGACCGACCAGCCTCCTGGGCCACCCTGGCATCATAGTCTCCCCGGGGAAGGGGCTCGAAGTAGGGCCGCAGGCGCTGAACAATGTCCTGCACCAGATCGGCGAAGGTGAAGTTGGTCTTCGGTGAGGGGATCCACACGGCCAGCTCACGCGACGCTCCATCCAGCAAGTGGTTGATGTCCGCCGGTGAGGGGAGTGCCAGAAGTTGCGGCATCGGTAGCGACAGGCGCGGCACCGAGAAGGGCAGCGGCGCAAAGAGCAGCGTGACAAAGAGCGTCAACGGCGCAAAGATGCGCGACTGGGCGACTATCCGCAGGAGGTCCATCTTGGCTGCGTATGCGGGCGATAGTGGGGAGTATGTGTGGGGAGACGCGAATGGGCGGAGAAGGTGCAGAGGGGCGAAGAAACAGGGGAGCCGGGGCGAGAGAGGGAGAGAGAGAGAGAGAGAGAGAGAGGGGCACAGGCGCATACGCAGAGTGTACTTCACAGGTGAGCTCGATCTGGCACCAGCCTTTTGACCATGCGAAGGGCGAGCGCGACGGGCGAGCGCCACAGGGGTCTCCTCCGCCCACTTCTGGGGCGCGGGGATTTTCTAACGGCGACTCGCGTGCTCGCCGATCAGACAGAATCGGTCATGGTTGCTATCCCCCCCCCCCCCCCCCCCCCTGGACCGGGCACTGGGGTCTAGGGGGGCGCGCGTGCGGAAGCCCCGTACGTTGGGACCTAATCGATCAAGGACGCTGATGTGCGTGGGTGGGTCCTTTCTCGAGGCGGACTGATTGCCGGTGGCCGGTGGGACGGGGGGCATAGCGCACCAGTCGCCCTGTCTATTTTTCGCTGCTCCTCCGCCCCTCCCTCTCTCTGACTTTCCGTCTCTCGCTCTCTCCCCCTCCTCGTCTCGCTGTCTTTCCCTACTCCCGCGTCCCTCTCCGCCTGGCCATCGAAGCACATCTTCTCCGCCGAGCAGCCTCACCCCCTTTCGCCTCCCTCGCCCAAAGGGGAGGTCTCGTCTCCAGTCGATCATGGCCCAGATCGTCCCACTTGGCACTCGACTCGGCTCGGTGGAGTCCGCCGGCGCCGTTCCCCTCTCGGCCCTCTATGCCAAACAGACAGCCGTAGATGACCGGTCTGGGCAGGCTGGCGGTCGTCGCGCCGGTGCTCACCATGGGTCCTGGTTTGAAGGGCGTGGCGGGGACCTGGAGAGTGCGGCCGCACGGCGTCGACGCCGGCCAGTGCGCACCCGGGCCAGCTCCGGGGACCACTATCACGGAGACCGCGAGGAGGACGAGGAGGATGAAGAGGAGGACGGCTTCGAGGAGGATAGCTTTAGACCGCGCTCTTTTGTGTCGTCCGCCTCGCGGCCAGCGGCCACGGGCGCCCGCTCGGAGGATGCCGACGCGCGAGCCTTCTTTGGCATGCTGGACGACCGGGACATCTTGGATTTCGGGCGGATCTCCATTCGGCCGGAGTTTCGTCCGGTGGCCTCGGGCGACCCGGGGCGCGCAGCCACCGAAGCAGCGGCTTCCCTTGAGGGTGGTGATCTGTTCGCCACGCCCACCGACCCGAACGCCTTCCGCGTGGGTGCGTTCTCCCCACTTCCCGCTCTCCGAGCCCCGGTATCACGGTAGTCTCTTTGTTTGGTACTAAGGCTCTTGGCATTCCCCCCCCCCCCCCGCCCCCATGGCATTGCCCCCTCCCCCGCCCTTCCTACCCTCAAGCCCCCCACTTGGCCACCGTCTTTGGGATAAAGGTGCCTGCCTCTATCGGAGAGCACATTCGCGCCGTTCCATTCGGATTGCACCTATCTGGATCTCTGGCCCGCGGCCCGGGGCCCAGTCAGGAAATGCCTGACCTGGATGAGGATCCGGTGGAGATGCTCACCGGGCGAGAGCTGGCCACGACCGCCAAAAAAACACAAGCCCTTGTTCGACACCAGCTGCCCACCGCCCAGAGCATGTCCCTGTCCGGGGACTTTGATGACATGGAGTACATTGATTCGGATGAGGAATTTTCCCTCGCCGAAGCCCGGGGCTCTGGGCCTGGTGGACGGGGTGGGTCCTCGTCAAGGCCCGGTGGCGGCGGCGGCGGCGGCGGGCTGGCCGACGCGCTTGAGCGCATGGCCTCCAAGTACCAAGACTCTCGTCGCGCAGTGCAAAACACTGATCAAGTCTTGTCGGCTATCGCCGCCAGTGGGAATACCTCCGACGGGGGTATCCTTCCGGAGTATGCCGGCCTCGAGCGTGAGGACATGGCACGAAATGCCTTTTTGTTGCTTCTGGCCCCGGCCTTTCACACCAAGTGGACTGGTGTCCTCGTGGCCTTCCTTCACATGTGCGTCAGAACTCGCTGGCCCTTCTGGATGGCAGGGAGAGGAGGGAGGGGGGGGGGACGGGAAGATCGGGCGAAGGACTGCGAGGCGGGTTGCGGAGGGATGGGGGGGGGGGGGATCCGATCCGGTCTTGCACTGCGGTCTAACTTCTTTCCTTCTTCCCTTTTGACATGTTTCACAATAGGCCCTCTCTTCAGCTGAGCCTGGAGCAGCAGCAGCAGCAGCAGCAGCAGACTATCGGCATCACATTCGCCCCCCATGCCTCTCGTGCTCTGATGGAGAAGGGCGCCGAATTGGACCCGGACGCTGCCTCAAGTCAACAGCAGCAGCAGCAGCAGCAACAACAACAACAACAACAACAATATGAACAGCAGCAGGGCGTCGATTTGGATGGACTACTCCGCCCGGCGCCTGGTGGCGATGCCTCCGTCCAACCTCCTGGGCGGGATTTCGATTATGCCGGCAAGGATGCCTGGCGACTACTGTGGAGTGGCCCGCAGCTGGAGGAAATCTTCGTCTCAGCGCGCGACCTACCAGATGATGTGGCCCGGCGCTCTGCGACCGAGGGGGGTGACATCTCAGTCGCTGCTGGCTCTGGACCTCTACGCGCGCGCGATCTCAATGACCGCGGTCGGCCGGCCGGCGGGCGGACAGTGATCCCCTGGAAGCCCGAGCCTCTGCTCTGCCAGCGCTTTGGTCTGAAGCCCCCAGTGGCGACGGAGGCGGCGAAGGCAGCCGCAGCAACAGCAAATGGCCAAGCAGGACCGGTGGCGACTCCTGGCTCTCGGCCGGTTGCCAATCCCCTCCTTCAGAAGAAGGCCCCCGTGCTATTGGGCCCCCTACCAGCGGCTCCGGCCGGGCCGTCGGTGCTGGCACTACCGGACGGCTTCTGCCCGCCGACCCCAATGCTCTTGCGCCCGACACCTGCTCCAGCTGGTCCGGCCGCGGTCGATGTCCCTGTGCCTGCCACCCTTGCACCCTCCACATCGGCGCCCATCATGCCCGTGGCGCGCGCCGACACACCACCCTCTTCGGTGACCGAGGCGCAGGAGCCCGCTCCCCCTTCCCCCTCGGCTGCGGGTGATGGCACTCCCCCTCCGACGGACCCTGCAGTGGGTGTCCCGGTCGCTGCCCCGTTGGAGCGGCCATCGGTTGATGTGGGCGCGGCGGAGTCCGCCTTTCTGGACCTTTTCAACGAGGTTTTTGGTGCCGAGAGTGAGATCTCTGCTTCGGACCTTTCGGACTCCGACACCGAGACTAGTGCCTCCATCGAGCCGGCTTTGCCTTTGCAGCCGGCCACCACCGCGCAGCAACCATCCACCCATGAACCTCCCGCACCACGAAGTGTCCCAAATGCCCAGCAGCCAGAACCGGAGCCTTCGAAGGTCATCATGACTGCACCGGCTCCGTCAGACGGGCCCACTGCTCCGGCAGCCGGCCCCGCCAGCATGACTGATGACCTGCTACATCTGCCACCCCTGCCGACGGTGGCTCCCGGTGAATTGGACCTCCCCTTGGTTGCCCTGGCCGGTGAGGGCAACCTGATGGAGCTGTTCGTGGAACGTCCGCCGGCTCGCAGCCGGGGCCGACATCGTCGCTCTGGCAGCTCCGAGCCCGACCGTCGGGAGAGACGCCGCCATCGGCGACGGGGCTCCCTCTCCCCGGGGCCTGAGAGCCAGGTCGATTCGCGGAAGCGCCGACGCCGGCGTCGTCGCTCCTCCGGCTCGAGATCTCCCTCACCCGGCGCCTCTCGATCCTCCAAATGATTTCCACACCTCGATTGCCAGTCTCTCTTTCCCTTCCCCCTCCCTCTTCACCCTTCATGCCTTGCCCCCATTCACTTCGCCCTTCAATAGACCCCCGCCGAAAGCGCGCATCCACCCGTCGGACACGACCCGGCCCCTGCCTTATGTTGGGACATCGCCACAAATAAATGGACATCAAGCCATGTCGCGATGTGCGGTGTCTGCTTTGTGGTGCCTGTGCGTACGTGCCAGAGTGGGAGTGGCTGTGCTCATGTGAATGTATTGCCCCTTCTATGGTTGCGAGATTGCCTTCCTCGACCTCGGAGAGCGAAGCACACATGTGGCGCCCCGACAGCCAGGCCGGGCCCGAGCCGCGGGGTTTCAGGTCCCAAGGTGGCCAGGACTGACCCCCTCCACCAGCTCCGACTCATCAAGGAACACCCACCGGTTCTCGGCCAAGCCGGAGGCCACATCTTCCAGGAGGATGGCCCGGCGGGACTTGACGAACATCGTGCGATCGATGACCATCTGCCGCAAGCGGCGCATGTATCCGACGTCGGAGAAATCCTCCTCGAAGGAGGCCGACCCGGAGTTCAGCAGATGGCTGTACTGGCTGAACCGGCCATCGGCATCTAGGACGTCGCTGCTGGCGCTGGACTTCATGGCCCGAACGGCGGCGGCGGCGGTGACAGTGGTGGTGCCGGCTGCCATGCCGGCTGCGTTGGCAACCGGAATGACGGCGCCCATGCTGGAGAGGCCATCAGCGACCGCGGCCAATCCCACATTCAGCACGTCCCCCCCGGTGCTGATGTTGACACCGCTGCCGCTGCCGCTGTTGGCAACACCGCCGGCGAGGCCATTCCCCGGGAGGGAAATCGTCTCGGAGGAGGCTGACGCCGAGTGAGGGCCACTCGAGGCGCCGAGGCCGGCATCGGTGACGCTCCGGAAGGACGTCAGCGAGGCCAGGGATGAAGCCACCGAAGTGGAAGTCGTCGGTCCGCTCGAGGAGCTTGCTGGTGAGTAGGCCGCTCCCCCGGGGGTCAAGGAGTTGCTCAGGGTTTGGGCACTCTTTTTTTGGAGGTCCCGTTGAAGGTCGCTCTTGTAGGCAGCCATCAGCTGGGAAGGGGAGACGCTCGAAGCATCGGCACGGCTCGTGGGATTTGCGGGGCCGGTGCCCCAGCCGGAGTCACTGCTGTCCGATCCGCCAAGGGTACCGTCGCAAGGATCACCGGAATCCGTCTGGCCAGGCACCGGCCCTCCGCCCAAACCGTGGGGCATATGGTGACCCGAGCCGACGGCCAGCAGCCGCGGGGAAGGCTGGGCACGCATCTCCAACACCCTGCTGCTTGTGGAATTGGTGCGGGCATGGCGATTACTGGATGGACCCTCGACCGGGTGATCTTGCTCCGGGGCAGCCGCCTTCCCGGGATGGCTTGTCCCAGATGGGAGGTCGCTATCGCGTGCACTGGGCTTTTGGACGCCGGCTGCATGGCCGGCTGGCGGGTTGGCTTCCTCGGCGGTCGGCATTAGAGTGTCGCTGTTGCCCGTCTTCAGGCCAGGGGACATGGCTGAAGGGGTCGCGCTCTCCAAGCCGCCATTGGCCTTGGTCTCCTTGTCGGAGGTGGGGGCCCCAGGTCGGGGATTGCCACGGGGAAGTGACCCGCCGCCGCTGGCATTGCCACCACCGCTCAATACACCGCTGGTGCTGTTGCTGCCGCTGCTGCTGCTGCTGCTACTGCCGCCGCCACCGCTGCCGACCCCAACGGGCATCTCATAGGCCGTGGCGTCGCGGTATTCCAGCAGCCGGCTGAGGGACTCAACGGCATACTCCAAGTCGCGCTGGTTCGACTCAAAGATCAACGTATAGTTGCTCTGTGGGTCGAGATAGTGCGCGAAGGCATACGACCAGGCCAGGGTGTCGCGACAGCTGAGCAGCATGTGCGCGGCGTCCAGCAGGAATTGCACCTCGATCCATGTGTAATCTGCACGAGCCTGCAGCCGGGCCATGCGTGTGTGCACATAGCTGAAAGCGGTCTTGCGTTCCATGCGCGCGCTATTTCGATGGTTGCTGTACCGGGTGAAGTAATGGACGTATCTGTCCAGCGCCACACGCGAGCGGGATTGGCTGTTTTTGTTCCCGGCATCCAAGCCATTGTACCGATTGCAGGCGTATGCGTGCGAATGCAAGGACCAGGGCATGAAGCATACCCAACAGAAGTCGTGGTGGCAGGACTGCAATCGCGTCGGCCGAGGGGGCCGAAGGGCGGGCACAAGGGGGGCGCGGGAAGGGCGAGATTGTCAGCGAGCAAACACATCGGCTGGTGCATCGAGGAGGGAGCCGGAGGCGGGCGGGGGGCGTCTCGGCGAGCGGGTGTACCTTGCAGCTGATGTGATTACAGCCGCCAAACTTTTCGATGGAGGCATGACACTTGGGACATTCGCGCGTGTTGGTGGCAATCCACAAAGCACTGCCGGAGTCCTCTTGGTATTGGTCCTTCCACTTTTGGGCCAGTATGCAGGGGGTCGGTCGGTGGTCACCCTCAATGGAGCAGCTGGATCTCGCAGCGAGGCACGCGGGTCAGATCCATGGCGGGCCCCTTGGCACATGGCTCCATCATGCGCGGACAGCCCGAGAGGGGGCGAGCAAAAGCGACTCGACGCACTAGAAGCACATGGACTTGTGGCAGCGATTGCAGGCGACGATCGGCACGCTGCTGTCCATCTCCAAGTTGTTGCTGGCCAATGACCAACGAAAAACCTGGGTACAATCGGGCGTGGGGCAGGGCCGAATGGTCCGCCTGTTGGCGATCAAGTACGTCCGGACCATGTTGTGCACGTAGCTGGGAGACGAGCTCGGCCTCGGTCAGAATGAGGCGCATCTTAGGGCAGCAGGCTGCAATGCGGCGCATTCAAAGCCATCGGTCGACATCCGAGGCACGCACTTTTCCCAATCCTCGGCGTCGCAGATCAGGCGAATGGTCGAGGCTGACATCTTATGCGAGCAGGCCATGCACGAGATGACCGCCAGGCCGGAGGAAATATGGCCTTCGGCGAGAGAAGGATAAGCCCAGGCGTGGACATGGCACACAAAACCGCGAGGTCCATTAGACGGGCAGCTGGCTGGCACGGGGGGGGGGGAGAGAGAGGGGGGGAGGAGCAAGGCGAACAAGCGCGAAAGAGGGGCGCCGAGCCCCGCCGAGAAGGCCGCCACGCACCACGGAGATACGCCTTCCAGCAGTTGTTCAGGCAATATGTATGCTGGCAGGGCATCATTTTAAGAAAGGGGCCCGAGGGGTAGTCCGCACAAATGTCACACAGCTGCTCGTTGGGATTACTTGGCGAGTTGAAATACTCGATCTCAGGCAGCGTGTCGGCGGTGTCGAGATTCAGCTGAATAGGGGCGTGAAGAGAAGGCGAGCGTGAGTGTGGCGACCGGGGAGAAGGAGCACGAGCCCCGGCAGACGGCCCAGTGTCCTGCCCATACGCAGGATCACCATGGGGGTCGTCAAGCTCGCACCTGCTTCACCAGCGACTCCGAGGAGTCGAAGTACTTTTCCAGAATCTTGTCCCTCTGCCAGGTGGCATTGGGAGTGCAGAGCAGCAGCAACAGAGCGATGTCCTCGTCGATGGCCAGCGTGGAAGAGAGAGCCAGGGTGTCGGCACGCACCATCTCGGCCAGATTAGACGGCGAGAGGCACTTGAAGTCCACGGTGACCACGCGCGGCGGCGCACCGGGCGGCGGGGCCGGTGACGTCGTGCTGGGCGGGCGGGAATAACCCTTGGAAGTTGGCTTGTGTCTGGGATAGAATTTACGCTCGGCCGGGGCATCTGTCCCACCTGCTGACCCCAGGCCGGGATAACCTGCGAGGGTATCGCCGCGACTCTGCAGGTCATAAAGGTCGGTGCATGAATCGCCGTCTGGCTCCGATAAGAATTTTGCCGTGGGAGGGTGTCAGCATGTAATGGCGAGCAAGGGGAAGGATGTGCATCCAAGGAGAGCAAGGGAGGCGCGTGGCGGGGCGGGACCCCGGCCGAGGAAGTAACTCTCGGCGGGCCAGGCGCTTGCCATGAAAAAGATCGAAAGGGTACCAGGTCTCACCTATCGGGTCAAGTGGCGTCTCTTCTTGGGCATATTCATCAGTCGCCAGCGGCTCCTGGTAGAGGTGGGAATACTCGTCGTCGAAGCTGAGGACGTCGAAAGAGTCCTCCATGGCTCGCTCCCCGCAGGTGGGCCACTGGCGGCCAGAGAGGTAGCAAAACGAGAAACCGGAGAGGGGGCAACAGCGAAAGTCGAGGGTGGGCTCTTTCGGTGGAGGGGGATATTCCTTTTCGCAGGTCTTGAAGTCCGCTCTTACTTTTGAAAAAAAAAAAAGGCGGCACGAGATCGGCCACAGCGAGGAGGGAGGAAGGGCAGAGGTAGACGGGACGGAGGGAGGTGGTTACAAGAGACTAGAGGCAATTGTGGGCTTTCAAAAATAAAAGCCGCGATCTGACACCCGCACTTACCCCACAACCCCCCGAGCAAGGGCCCTTGTGCTCGGCCCGGCGTCACCCGCCACCGCGAGCCCACCCACGCCCCTCGGCCCCTGAAGCTAGATCCCATGTCCTTGCCCCCCTACCCATTGGTACTTGTAGCGTGCTGCTTGCCGGACCTGGAAAGGTTGCAGCCTCTGGGGGCCCGAAAAGCGATGCGCCCCGGCGTCGCCGAGGTGCGCACGGCGTGTGCACACGCCAGGAGACTCGGCAGATTGTCGCAGACTGGGGCCAGTACCAGGGCAGGCGCGTTTAAACAAACAGCCAGGTCAAGGGAAGTGCATTCCCTTGGGGTGGCATGCGTCACAGTTTTCCGACCTCTGGCGACGAGGGCGGGTGTCGTTGTTGGCATGGATACCCCCCGTCCCCTCGCAGAGGTGGTGGATGTCTGTAACTGCCGTCCCCCTCCCACCACCACCACCACCGCCACCCCCCTCCGCCTCACGTGTCTAATTGGAGGACACTCGTTCGGACGTGGCGCCAGGCCTTGCCGCTCTATCATGCCCCTATACACCATCGCCCCCCTTCATGTGGTGTACACCCAAGACTTTGGGGGCACAGGATCGGGAGAGAGGAAACGGGGGTATCCCTGGCTGTGGTATGCCGGGGAGCCTCGCCAGTGAGCGTCGGACGAGAATACCACCGAGATGACAATGTCGCTCCATGACCATATCACCAGCTCGTGGAAGGGTGGAAGATGGGCAGGGACAGTCGGATCGCACGGAAGGGGGTGAGGTACTTCGACCGTGCCGTGTGACTGGTCGTCCTCCCAGCAAGCAGCCCCCACAGGGCCCTCGCGCTCGAGCCGCCGGGCATAAGCGCAGGTGGATGGGACCGGCCCGCCGGAGCTCACCACATGGGCGCAGTGGCAGGACGAATTCGCACATCGCACGACCCCTGATCATGAGCTTGGGCCTTCAGCCAAGGTGCCACAAAATGGTTAGATGTGGCACGGGCCGTGGGGGGGGGG